TTCCTTGAAGGTGGAGCGAGAAGCAATGATAACTTTTCATGGTTGTTTTATGTCGTACACGTGGTCCAAAGTGGTAATGGGAAGTGTATTGATTCCCAAACTCTGCCTAACGTGCTGTGCTCTGATGGTTCAAATAATGTCTCTTATGTTTTGGATGCTGCCCTAGTCTGTCTAATTTTATTCATCGAGATGAGAGCACTTTTCCATAAAAGAGGAGCAACCTTTAGTTAATGAGAAAAATCACAATGAAATGATGTTAATATAAATTCAGTTTGTGAATTTTGTAGGATAGAATATTGGTTTACTTTGGTCTAAACAGAAGAATTTTGTGAGAACTTGGAGAATGTCAAGATTAGCTTTTGGCATTTATCTTTCACTTGAATCTGCAGTAATTGTTTTATCACTGTTTTGATGCTGCTTACGGGTTTTCTAGGTGGGGTATTCAGTTATTAAATAGCTGTTTACTTTTTGAGCTGTGGAATCATCCAACTTTTTGCTTTGAAACTATTCTTTTATTTAATCATGCAATAATTGAGAGGAGGCACAGGGTATAGTGGCTATAAAAGTCTATTGTTTAATGACAAATGAGCAGAACACCAGGCACACGAGGAAGGTGGAAATCATTTGGTAAAGGTGAGGTAAAATTAATGAGCCTTATCTATCTTATTTTTTTGTGAAGATGAAACTATATTTAGCACTTTTTATTTATGCTTTTATAATAGTAAAGCTTTCATTGATTGAACTGCAGAACTTTAATTTGCAGAGTGCACGTTCATGAGCTGCAGACAAAACGTAGCTAACTACTTTCTCTAAATTAGATCTGCTGGAGTTGTCCTTAAATTTATCACATACTGCAATGGAATTGCTGGCTTTGAGGCTTCTGCAGTTTTGCTTATACAACTTTTCCTGCTTGGTAACGATGTTACTTGGATCCCTGCTCAGCTTAGTAGAGCTACAGTCACTGACCACAGGAAAGTAAGTCATGAGATGGCTTCAGTCTTTTGCTTTTTCTTCAGGAAAACACCTTTGATTATAATTATGCTAGCTTCATATAAAAATACAAAAGGAATTGTGTTAATATGTTACAAATTATCTAACTGTACAAAGTCCCTTTTCAAGGCCCTTAATCTGCAAACCAGCAATTTGCAAGCAGGCTAGTAAAGTTTGATCAGCACTCAAGGATTTTGCATTATTTAAGTGCTTCAAGTGTGGGTGTTGTGTTCTAACTACATCTGAATGTGCTAAAAGCTCTAATGCAGACTTGGTAATATTGGCAATAAGAGTAGCTTACTGAACTGGTTTAAACTGTGACAGTAGAACAGAGTTTTGCTGATTATGAATGGTATGTTGGAAATATCACTGTACCTATCAACCCTTTCCAGACTACAAAGGGCCAAAATGGAAGCTTGGAAATTGATGTGTTTAAAAAACAAGAACAACAACAAAGTCACTCTCTATTAAACTTTAAGAAGCTATGAAAAACCAATGTAGTATGGTGTAAAGCAGAGTGTACTTAATTTTTAAGAGGAAAAATTCTGTTACATATTGTTAATGCTTTGAAACTTGTTTTAAATATTGCTGAAAACAAATATTTTTCAATCCTTTCAATAAAATCTTTTTGTAAAGTTGAACTTGTTTAACAGAATTTTGACTTTTGAGGATAATAAGTTAGGTGCACACAATTACTTGCTTGGAAGACAAATATTCAGTGTGGGGTTTTGATGCATTGTCTCATGGGACAGTAGCTTCTGTTTTCTAGATGTATGTAAGGCTGCTGTGATTGTGTCTGTCTGATGCAAGACTTTTCCCAAAAGTTTCAAAATAAAAGCTTCCGGATTTGCTGTGCAAGTTTAAAAAATAAATAAAATAAAAAATCTTCCCTCCAGCTAATTGGGCTTCATTAACTAATTTTATGAAGGTCCAAAAGTAGAAAAGTGAGTGAGGAAATAGACATGGGCAATAATCTGAGATAATCTCAGGTATCTGGATATATAACGAACTTGAGTGAAATTGTAGTTTAAATGCCCATTCTATCCTCTCCTTTGCATGCTGTGATCAAGTTCCAGACACTTTTTCCATAAAACTTATGGCTGACAATTATGATTAAATGTTCTTTCATGATTTCATAATGTAATCTGTAACCTATTCCAACAACTGATGCAGGCCAAATGATTGACAAACGTATGGAGATATCATATACAGGTAAATATAGCAGCTTTTAAATGGAATTTATTTGCTATTTGAGGTGCTTTAATAAGAGTTTTCCATCTTATGCTTGGCTAGCTACAAGCTCTTCCAGTCCATAGCCAAAAAGATAAGCCACCATTTCTGTGACAATGGCACTCTATTGCCTATGCAGGAGGCAGGGAAATAGCAGTGCCATTATTTTGCCATGAGAACAAAAAAAAGCATGGTACAAGCCTTCTTTTTTCAGGTAGTTTTGGCCAAGTAAAGACCTTCTGCAAAAAATAAGTATTCCCTTATTGCTACTGCTCTGGGCAAGACCTGCTGCATGCTGGCTTATTTTAGAAAAGTACTGAAAATGCTTAATTGTTTTCCTCCATTTCAGCAACAATACATAGTCACATTTGGACTTGTGGAATGAAGTCACAGCCATCAGCTGGTACTCTCGTGCTTTCTCTTGAAAGTGCCAGCTGTGTGCAGGCTGACCATAGACGATTAACCTCTTCATGTCTCCGTTGTGCTGCCTATAAAATGTATTTTTTGCCAGTATTTTTCCCATCCTAGTCTCAGCTCTTTATACAAGTCTTGAGATCCTCCCTACAAAGCTACAACAGACTATTTCAGCTACTTCATCCAGTGCAGTTCACAGCACACAGGAGTCGCAGTTTCAAGCTCTTCCATCTTCAGTTTGTAAAGCAGCTTTCCATTGAGCTTACTGCATTAATTTAAGAAAAAATAACCCATACCCAAACTGTGTTTAAACTTTATTAAAAAATACATAACCAGTAGCTAAAGGTTGCAATCAGTAAAATACCAAACTTTTAAATTGCAATAGTAGAGACTTATTTCAACAGTCACCTGTTGTTGTGAAATGGCACAGTGGTTAGATACGTTAGAGGGCGTGAAATGACCTTGTGTAGATTTCATGTGAGCTGAGATTTAAAAAAATATCATGAAGTATGGGTAAGTCAGGGCAGGGACAAGAGCTCTAGCTATTATGTTGGGGATAAGCAGTCACACAGACACAGTGGATATCAGAGAATGCAGCTGTTGTCTAAACAGCTCGTGGAAGTCATACATGAGCTGCAGAACAGAAAGCATGTACTGTGGAGCTCTTAGGACCTCTGCTCAGTGACAGGTCTGAGCTGAGAAATGGAGGCAGGGCTCTCCACTTCTAGCCTCACTTAGTAAAGACTGGCGTGCAAATTATCTTATGTTGGAGCATCATCAAAATGAGAATTTATATTAATGATGTGCCCCGCTCACATGTGTGTTGTGAACCTCCCGCAGTTCAAAGCAACATCAGGAACGTGAGTGAAAGCTGCAGTGTCCTGTCAGCAGAACCCACTGAGCGTGAGAGGATTACTCTTGTTTTCATGAGCATACTTTGCTTTATAAGCTGTTACCAGCTGCACTGCTGTAATCCCATAGCATGAAACAATCTAAGAAATGTGAAGACGCTTTTCAAAGAAACTTCTTCTGTCTTTGTGAAACAGAGCCATTATCTTACGTTCCAAATGCATGCACTTGATCAGAACTTCTCAGCTATGCTTTCACTCTGTAAGAGCTGCAGTTAGGATGCAAAGGGGATGCTCAGGAGTCGATCCTTCCATAGGAAGAAAACACTGGGAAGAAAGGAAGAGGTAGATCAGTCAAAAACAACGCCTATCAACATTTATGTCCTCTTTTTATAAGAGATAGGTAGTTTCAGACTGGTGGCTATCTAGGTCCCTTTATCCCTCTTATTTTAGACATTTACACTGCATGATAAAGAAGAATTGCATGTATTTAGTATAGAGGATACTTTTTCCCCACAGATCTGTTTTTCTGGATGGCAGCAGTTCTTGTGTGGATTTAACAAATATCAATTTTCTTCAAGGAGATACCACGCATATTTGATCCAAGCTGCTGATGGCTGCTGCAATAAAGACCTGCCTTTTATCATGACTATTCCTAACTATTTTCCTGGCCTGGCAAGCTCTCTACTTCATTGTGAGTCCAACAGGCCACAGACTTCTTAGTTAAGTTAACCTTTTTGAGTACTTACTTCTTTCTCTTAGTCCTTGCCCAAAGCCACGGTAGACGTGAATCAGTGCCCAAAACAAAACAGATTTTATTGCAACAGAAATGCAAGAGCCAGTAATGAAAGCAGCCTCTAGAGTGTAAGAATTCCCTCTGCCCCACTCTTTTATCACCTGTAGGAAAATAAAGATGCAACAATCAAAAACCTGGAACTCATAAAATACAATCAATCACTAAGTTTCTGGAAGAAGTCATGTAATAAGTGACTATATTACAGCTTTATCTGATAGAGTTCTACTTTGTATGCCAGTGCCCTCATTTGCTAGGCACTCTTAGGTATTGCTATGCAAAACCATAAGTAGATCTAGCTATTTTCAAATTGCTATGTTATTCTTATCCATGTTTTCATTCCTAACTGCAATACAAACGTAACCACCAAAGTCAGTGTGTGGTCATTTTGTGCTTTTCCAAATCAAAGAGGTCTGTACATAATTGGAAGAACCTGATTTGACTTCAGCCTTTAATAAAACCACAAGGATTGCAGCCAATGGACTTTTGTCAGCGTCTGGAAGTGAAATATGAGAAACAAAGTACTGGCTGCTAATAGCATTTGGCCCTTCCCATGATGGATAATCAGCTTTACCCTTTCTTCTTCCTTGCCTCTTTTCCCACATGTTGTGGGAGCTGTTGGGCTGCTCCAGTGATAAGTGCTTTATCACTATTATAGTGCCAAAAAATGCTCAACACTGAGCTTTGTTGAGCTTACAGTGTCTCCTGTTTTGCCTACATGAAGATCAGCATCTGGGATACTGTGTAAGATATTCTTTAAAATATGACTTCAGACCCTGCAGCTGGTCAAACAGTGGTACCACTGTGAGGGAAATATTTCAGAAGAACTATGTACCTTGCGTTGGAAGATTTTCTTTTGTCTTTCTCTAATCATTCCAGATACCTTGCCAGCTGCAGTGAGTTCCAAAGCCTCTCCCTTTAACTAAGTAGTTCAGGAGCAATTTGACATGATTCCTGTCTGGAAAGTACATTCCAAAGATGCTGGACATGGCTGCTGCTCTCATTGATTCTAAAATGAGCTACAATGAGGATGTATGCTCAGGAAGGGGACACCATGTTTTGCACCCAAGGATCCAGTAACAAAACAGAGGCTTCCAGCCTTGTTCCCAGTTATCAAGCAAGTAAGTCTGATGGATTACCGTGTAAAGCAGGTAGATGAGAAAAACTACTTCAGGTACATTCTGACAGAGAAAAATCCACACTAGAGGCTTCAGTTCTTTTAAAATCTGTAAAATAAGACCAGATATATACAAATCCTTACATTAAACTGAAAATTCTCATTCATCTTTAAAGAAGTTGCCCCAGTAAAGGACCACTCCTCTTTTTGGTGTTGTTCCCAAGGATTTGAGGTCTGTGCAGTCTGTGTCTGCATATCCATCTTTGCAGTAATTTGGAGGACAGTTGACAATTTCACTTAACCTTGTCATAGAGGTAGAAATATTGAAGATACTGTCATCCTGTCTGTATGTTCCACAGATGTCAAGGACTGAAAATAAAACTATGTCCCTCAGAAAGGAGTAATGATAGCTTGAGGTGGTTCACCTTCACACTCAGGGGACAGACACAGATCTATATTAAACCTTGGTATTGTTGGTGTTCTCGTTCTCTATTGGGATCCATTCTAGATCCCTTCCACTTAGCAATATTATGCAGAAAGGGACAGTTGTCACTTGCTAGCTTGTGATTGCTGCTCGAGGGCAGGAACTTCTAGATTCAGAAGTTGATTATCCTGGATAGCATAGCTGTTGGCTTCACACTTACCGCGATGATGCTAACGGTCACTTTCAGGCAAGCCCAGAGAATCCCTGTTGCTGAAATGATGTTATGTAGAAGGGTGATCTCGTGGAGGCTTATCAGCAGAATACACAAGCAGAGCTGAAAGAGAAGAGGCAAAGATTTGCTGACATTTTTAGCGTGAGACTGTATATCTCACCAAAATACTTGACACCAAAAAACACCTGGAAAATTACCATTATCAGGCTAATCTTACCTAGCAGGTAAGATACAGACAGAATTGCTTTAGGTAGCCCTCAGTTCAGTTCAGCTAGCTGTAATTCTAAGATATTCTCAACAGGATGAGAAAATGGAACCTGGAAGAAGAGTTCTATACCTGTGCCTGAAGATCAAAGGTCAGCATGGAAAAACAGAGATTCAGCATGAAGTATTGTGACTGTAGGCTTTCTAGAGCACCACCCACTCGAAAGGCCATCATGCTTTGACTCTGAATAAGGATGATGGCACAGATGACATCAAAGGAGCCAACCAAGAGGATGAGAATGAAGCGGGCCTGATGAGAAAGAGAAATAAGCATGTGACTGGTCATGCTGAAACAGTGATAGTTCTATCTTTAAATCTTCTAACTAGAAATGAAGGAATAAAAGGGTAAGAAGAACTGAACTACTTATTAATAGCATTTAAAATAAATAAGTTGAACATGACAGTTTGCACACCGTTAAGTGGCAGAAAGCATAGCCTGAGCAAGCATTTGGTGCAAGCACCTGGTACTAAGTGTAAACTCACATCAGTTGTTTTGGCCTACGTTACCCTCAATGTGAAAGACAGCTGAAGTGGTAAGACGTCCTTCATAATTACATTGATATGAGAATGTTTAAACTAGTAAGCATTATTTTATTCTGGCTTAGTAATTTTGCTCAGGAAGCAGAAGTTACTGTTACAAGCAGAAGAGTAATCACTTACTTTTACTAAAATCTCCTTAACTGTGCATCTTCTAGACCAGATTTTGCTGGTTTACTTGTTTATCCTTGTTTAATACATAAACTGAAAGCTAGGACACATACCTCAAAAGTAATTTGCATCTCTAATGCCTGTTTCTTATTGACCATTAACTCTGCTGAAGACGTTTAACTAATTGTTAATTGATCAGCAGTTGAACAGGAAAATTCTGCGTTGCTGTAATCTTCCTATCTTGACTGTAATCTCTTCTATCAAAAAATATTTGTAGATGACTACAGGGAAGAAGGAATCTCCTCACATTTGTGATAAGTATGCAAACATGAAAGGGAAGCACAGCAGGGGAAAGTTTAACTACTGAAGTTAGTAACACGGTACATTCCTTCTTTACATTTTGTTACGGAAGACAAACAAGTCATCTGGATGGGCAGTACCTGCCTTAACACTATCTTTTTGTTTCCTTGCATCAGGTTATCACTCTTAAAAACACAATGTTGCATTTGTGGATGTTAGGAGTTGCTAGTGGCTGTGTCCTTGCATACAGACCTGACGTTCCAGTTCCATTCAGTCGAATTTATGTGACTTTGGCCAGTGATTTTATAGGTGAAAATCTGATGCAGGGTAAGTAAACCAATGGCAACACATTCTGCAGTAATTCTGTGTAAGTAATGTCATTTGATACTGATGTTACTTTCAGGTACTTGCATAAAGAAACCCATAGAACTGTACAATTTGCCATTGTGGAGATGTGCATTTTGTTATTCAGTGGTAGGAATAATTTGGCCTGATTTTCTGTTTCCAGTGCCCTTACCACAGGTGCCTTGCCTTTCTAAGATTTTTACATCCAAGATTTAGAGTAAAGCAAAGTTAATTAAAACCAGGAGACTAACCAGGAGTTTTGGCTTTTGCTCAGCAGGAAGAACTGTGAAATTGATAATGGAACGAAACATCACTAGCAGGATGGAAAGAACAAAGACAATGAGCTCCTGGCGGTTCTCCTGCAGGATTCCTCTAGTGACATAGTACACACAGAACACTGGGAAGGAGAAGGAGAAGTCAGTTAGCAGGTGAGCACAGAGTGGTGCTCTTTTTCAGTACACGTGATCCAGATGACAAAGTGGAATTATCAAGATTGTGCAACTTAGATTCCTTAATCAAAAGCATATCTTCATTCTCAACAAGGAGCCTGCATCCGATTCTTCAGATGCTGTGAGTGCTCTCTCCTGGGTGTAGCATATAAAGAATGAAATAATTCACTGGACTTTTAAATCACTTCTGAGGAAATGGTTTGAAAATAGCAACTATCCAAACTAACCAGCAGCTGTGGTATCCTTTATTGGATTAGAACTACACTGTTCAACATATATGTTGAGTATGTGCAAATGAAATTAAGTAACAGAATTTTATTAAAGAACTGAAATTACAGAATCCTTCCAGTGACAGCAATTCCAGTGACCAGTCAGGAAGGTACTGCTCACACACATACCTCCACAGGATTGTTTTCATGGCTCTGACCCCCTGCACGTGCTTTAACACACCAAACTATAGTCCAGAAAGGAACTGATTCAGGAAAGTTCTGAGGTGTTTTTATGAAATACATCAAGCTACATACCTTAGTATTCTATTCTGCAACCACCACACACATAAGGAAGAGGCTTTCCTTGCACAAAGACAGGCTGTTCCTATCTAGGTCACTCCTGCAAACATGAGCTCATTCTTACCATAGACAAAGTAACAGTTTTTTTCTGTTTTCCCAGAGTTGTACTTCCTGGACTCAGCACATGAGATAAAAATGTTAGCCTGGGACGTGGGTCATAAAAGATTTCAAAGTAACATAATAACTTCAGTTGCTCTAAACAAACTTTACGGTAAGTTTACTTCCTTTTCTGCTATTATTATAGTAATTGAGATGAAAAAAAATGGTCAGCAAATAAAAGAATGGATCTTGTGATTTTTTTTTTTGTGTGTGCTTATGACCTCAGGAAGACCTGAAGATGTCAGACAGTATTTCCTTGTTTTATAAGTTCACCTGCTAAAACAGAAGTCTGTACAAATAATTTGGAAACAAACATTTTCCTGACCACTGTTTGCAGGGATGGCACAGGAACATTTCTGAGACAAATAAAGGACATCCCTTTGTTTTCAAAAAGGGAAGGTTTAACAAATTAAATTCAACCTCTTGAATTAACTTTCTAATGGTCTGTTTGTGCTGACCTAAACCAGAGGTTTGTGGCAGGTGTGCAATTCTCCCTCTGTGCTCATTGCATTCCTTAGTTCCTACTTTGGCACTGCTGTGTTTTAAAGCACAGTGAGTGTGTTTCTTACCAACTCCAACTAACTGTATAAGAGAAATGGTGAAATCTTCCTCAGTCTGTCGAACGAGTGTCTCTATGGTCAGCCCTATAACACTGAGCAGAGACAAAATAGTCACGCAGAAGTAGATCTTCACAGGAAATGACAGCTCTGAACAAGGCTTGATCTGTAAAGGAAGAGAACGTTTAAACTTGTGATGCCGTTTGACCTATTTGCTGTCCCTAAGAAATGCATTAAAGCAAATGGGCTGATGGACAACCAGGGCAGGGTTCCCCTGGGAGAAGGGGAAGAGAAACATTTTGCAATAGAACTGAAACTGCAAAAGTGCTGAGGGAGTGAGAACTCCAACTCCATCTGATGAGTGATCTCAGCCTCGATTTTTCGGGTTCATCCCTGCAAACTGTATTCTGCTTTTCTCACAGCACTCTAATTTCATCTCCTAGAATCAAGTCTGGCAATACCCAGATATAAACCTATCAAAGCAGTAACGTTCAGCAAGTAACCTCCTGGGGACCCACGCTAAGATTTTTACTTTTAGAAGATCATAGAGAAACAGTCACACTTGAAAGCATACAAAAGATTTGAATGAGCTGTTTTTTTCTGTGCAGCCTAAATCCTGGAGAGAGATGAACTGGTGGTGAATGGCACCATGCTCAGAACGACTTGGATTTCCCTTGGCAGTGGCACATGGCCCTGGAGAGTCACCTGCAGGCAGAGGTCAGCTATGGCACTGTTACTGAGCTACCATCTTACATTAGTCACATTGCTGCTATACAAAACATCCTTATACACAAAGTCTTTCTGTGCACCGCATTGATAACACGGTTTAATTTAACCAAACCAACTGAAAGTAATTGAGAAAGTGCTGCTTGCTTTGGAGCGAGGCTGGCCTTCAGTCAATGGGGGCAGTGCTTGTTTAGTACCGGGCTTGCTCTGCAGCCATAAACACACGGCAGCAGCTATGAAAAGCAGCCAAGGAACGAGCTCCAGCCAAACCACACGCGAAGGAACCGCAGGTAGCCCTGGGCGCCTCGGTCTGACCGAACGACTGTAATTAACACATTTTCTCCTGCGGGAAGGACCTGACCGCGACGAACCGCCCGGCTACTCACGGGGCCGCAGGGCGTGGGGACGAGCTCCCGGTGCCGCGGGGTGAGGTTGGGCAGCGCGGGGCCGCTGTAGGGAGAGAGAAGCAAAGCGGCGTCACGGCGGGGCGCAACCACAGCCGCGCCGCTCCGCGCCCACAGCCGCGCCGCTACCTCTCACCTCTCCTCGGCGGGCTCCATGCCGGCCGCGCCGCCCTCCGCTAACGGCAGCTACATGGCTGCGGCGGCTGAGCCGCGCCGCGCAGCGCCCGCCCTTCCGGGGCGGCGGGACGTCACTTCCCGCACGGCGCGGGGCGGCTGGGCACGGCTGGGTGCCGGGCTCTATGCGGGGCCGCCCCTCGGCCCGCTCCCGCCCGCGGCTTTGGGCGGCGGCCGCCCGGGCTGTGCCGCACGCGGGAGGGCGGCTCGGTACGGCGGGCGGAGCGCTGCTGACCGGCCGGCTGTGAGCGCAGCCTCCTTCCCTTTCATTTCGAACCCTCTGGGATGAGGGCGGGCGGAAGGGAGGCGGGAGGCTGCTGCTGCTGCTCCCTGCTCGGGGAGGCCGCGGGGGTCGCGAGGGGCGGGCGGAGTGCCGCTGGTGTGCGGGAAAACGTTCGGCTGTTTTTGAGCGTTTCTTTGCGCGGGAGACGTTAGTAGCTCTGAGATGGTGTTCGCGGTCTGTACGCCTTTGTGCTTTGTTGTCGTTCAGTGAAATAACATCGGCTGCTCGCTCGGATGCTGAGCTGCCAAGGGCACGTGGGCGTGTCTGCATCCCGGCCTCTCCTCGCTGCCCGACTAAGCTCGGTTTCAGAAGTGGCCGCTTCTAGCATTCCTGCTCCTCGCGTTTTTTGTGAATACCAACAAAAGAAGACATCCATCTTTATGCACAGACAAAGCCGCGGTTCTTCCCACCCCTCCTTCCTAACGCCTTGTCTTTCTGCCAGATGCTGGTCGTGCTGAAGCCCCAAGCTCTGCCCGTCCAACGAACGCTATCGGGAGCTGCTGGGTGACGTGTAACAGCGATGGGCAGAATGTGCTCCACTGCTGACAGCACAGCGAGAGCTTCTGACTAACAGGTACCTGCACTGAGGGCAGCTGCACCGCCAAGGAGTTCTGCATCCAAACACGTGGCTGTGTGCCACCCCAGCATCTGTGGTGCTGGAAATGTTATCTTTTATGTTCGTAATAAATGGTATCCAGGCATAGTAGGTGCAGCTTTAAAAAAAGAAAAAGGTCATATTTCCTCTCATTAGGTTATATTTCCTCACATTAATGCATTTTTCCTTGTTGCTGTATGCGTTATCTTTAAACGATTTTAGTCTTTCAGTTCTAAGGGAAGATATTTTAAACAATTAGCTGCTACTCATCAGTCAAAATTTGATGCTCTCAAAATTTATGCTCCCAATCTTTTCATCTTTACTACAACACTTTTTTTTTTTTTTTTTTTTTCATTAGTAACGTAGTCTAAAATGGGAGAAGATAGAAGGAAGAGTTTAAAATGCACTGCATGCTGTTCATTCTTGTGAGCTGGAAGATTCCATGTTGTGTGTAATCCAACAGAAACAGTCTACCAGCTACTGCCACGTTTTCATCTATTGGTAAACATCAGCTGCTGGTTGCTCTTATGGGAGGAGGATTGAATTACTTCCAGATGGAAAGCTCTTCCAGCCAATTTAAAGCTTTCCAGCTGATGTAAGACAGCAGGTCAGTAATTCAGAGGTGTGGTTTTATTCTTCTTACTGCTTTTCTGCTTCCTACCACTAGTGGAATTGGTGATATCAAATATGATAATGTGGTGCTGCCCAAAGTGGGGGTTTTGTTGGGCTTAATTGTTGTTGTTTTTACTTGAGCAATGTAAATAGAAAAAAAAAAAAAAAAAAGCTAAGTTTTGGTAATGAACTGTTCTGAATGTATAGTAATTCTATATTATTATATTGGGTAAACGTGAATATATAGTTGAGCACAAGCTTGCAGAAGCATTGTACCTCAATGTGTTGGCTTGATTTCCTGCTAAAACGGCAAGGGATAAGGTGATGGGGTGGAAATGTGCCCTGTGTGGCTGTAATAAGAGAAATAGGTTACACTAGGAATGGAAAACTTCAGTGTAAAGCAGGATATGGGAATGAATGGCACAATGTATTTAACTCTTAGTACATCTTTGTATCAAACATTACAAAATTGTGAAGAAAAAAACGGATGCTGTTCGTATGTTAGCAAAATCAGGGCAGGTGCATTAGGTCTTGTTAGAACCCTGCTGTTTTTGCTTGCCATTAATTATTTCCTGTGCTGCCATTCTTTGATTCACTGTGGTATTACAGTCTTATTTCAGAGAGCTTTACTAAGCTGT